TTTGTTGTATCTTATCAGGGGAAGAGTTTATGGGAAAGCTCACTCCACCATGACACTGACGTCACTCCTACAGGTGGTTTCTTTTGCCTTACATGATGAGTTATGTTAGCAGTTTGCCCTCATTCAATCTAAACTGTTATTTTAGGAATACTGTGATAAGTGGAGTGAACAATGCACACTGGATTTGAAGCTAAAACAAGGATTTTGCTTACAAAAAGACAAGGCATTACATTTTGCAGTGCTCTAGCTCAAGTGATAAGATTGAAGAAATTTTAATTCTCCAATCAAAGCATCTGATGAAAGCTCTGGTTACTAATGCTCTCTACCAACCTTGATTCTAGAGTCAAGAGTGTGTAGTCGTTCTTGTAATCTTGCAATGAGCAAGCTATCAGCCAAAGCCTAAATCGATGAAAGATGCTCCTGTCCTCCCTCTTTACTCCTCTGCAATCCCCAAAAAGTTTACGAGGGGACATTGGCTCTGTGACTAAGTGTTCTAATCTTTGTTAGAGTCTGTTCTTTGGAATTTCAGGCTGATAGTCCAGGGTTTAGCCTGCGGTAGTGAAATATGAAGGATGTCATGGAGGCAACACTGGCTAAGGGAAACCAACTGCCACTCATTCAGAGACTGCCCCAATAACAGCAAAAGGGATGCAGCAAAAGTGATACTAAGAGGGAAATTTATAGCAATTCAGGCCTACCTCAACAAATAAGAAAAACCTCAAATAAGTAATCTTAAACTACACCTAACAGAACTAGAAAAAGAAGAACAAACAAAGCCCAAAGTCAGCAGAAGGAAGGAAATAATGAAAATCAGAGCAGAAATAAATTAAATAGAGACCAAAAAACAATAGACAGGATCAATGAAACTAAGAGCTGGTTCTTTGAGAAGATAAACAAAATTGACAAACCTTTAGCCAAACTCACTAAGAAAAAAAGAGAGAAGGCTCAAATAAAATTAAAAATGAAAGAGGAGAAATTACAACAGATTCCAAGAGAAATACAAAAACTTATAAGAGAATACTATGAAAAACTATATGCCAACAAAATAGAAAACCTAGAAGAAACGGATAAATTCTTAGAATCATACAACCCCCCAAACCTGAATCAAGAAGACAGAGAGAATCTGAATAGACCAATCACAAGTAAAGAGATTGAAACAGTAACCAAAAACCTGCCAAATTGGGCTGGCCCCGTGGCTTAGCGGTTAAGTGCACGCGCTCCGCTGCTGGCGGCCCGGGTTTGGATCCCGGGTGCGCACCGCTTCTCCGGCCATGCTGGGGCCGCGTCCCACGTACGGCAACTGGAAGGATGTGCAGCTATGACATACAACTATCTACTGGGGCTTTGGGGGGAAAAAATAAATAAATAAAATCTTTAAAAAAAAAAAAAAAAACCTGCCAAAAAATAAAAGTCCAGGACCAGATGGCTTCTTTGGAGAATTCTACCAGACATTCAAAGAAGATTTAATACCTACCCTTCTCAAATTGTTCCAAAAAAATGAAGAAGACAAGACGCTTCCTACCTCATTCTACAAGGCCAACATTACCCTGAGACCAAAACCAGACAAGGACAATACAAAAAAAGAAAATTACAGGCCAATATCACTGATGAACATAGATGCAAAAATCCTCAAAAAAATATTAGCAAATTGAATACAGCAATATATTAAAAAGATCATACACCATGACCAAGTGGGATTCATACCAGGGACGCAGGGATGGTTCAACGTCTGCAAAACAATCAATGTGATACATCTTATTAATAAAATTGGACTGAAAATCACATGATCATCTCAGTAAATGCAGAGAAAGCATCTGACAAGATCCAACATCCATTTATGATAAAAACTCTAAAGAAAATGGGTATAGAAGGAAAGTACTTCAACATAATAAAGGCCATATATGACAAACCCAGAGCCAACATCATACTTAACAGTGAAAAACTGAAAGCCATCCCTCTGAGAACAGGAACAAGACAAGCGTGCCCACTTTCACCACTCTTATTCAACATAGTCCTGGAGGTTTCAGCCAGAGCAATTAGGCAAGAAAAAGGAAATGAAAGGGATCCAAATTAGAAAGGAAGATGTAAAACTCTCACTGTTTGCAGACAACATGATTCTATATACAGAAAACTCTAAAGAATCCATCAGAAAACAATTAGAAATGATCAACAGCTACAGCAAAGTTGCAAAGTACTAAATCAACTTATAAAAGTCAGTTGCATTTCTATACACTAATAATGAACTGGCAGAAAGAGAAGTCAAGAATACAATTCCATTTACAACTGCAACAAAAAGAATAAAATATCTAGGAATAAACTTAACCAAGGAGGTGAAAGACCTATACACTGAAAACTATAAGACATTATTGACAGAATTAAAGAAGACAGAAAGAAATGGAAAGATATTCCATGGTCATGGATTGGAAGAATAAATATAGTTAAAATGTCCATATTACCTAAAGCAATCTACAGATTCAATGCAATCCCAATCAGAATCCGAATGACATTCTTCACAGAAATTGAACAAAGAATCCTAAAGTTTATATGGAACAACAAAAGACTCTGAATAGCCATAGCAACTCTGAGAAAAAAGAACAAAGCTGGAGGCATCACGATCTCTGACTTCAAAATATTGTACAAAGCTATAGTAATCAAAACAGCATGGTATTGGCACAAAAGCAGACAAACATATCAATGGAATAGAATTGAAAGCCCAGAAATAAAACCACACGTCTATGGACAGCTAATCTTTGACAAAGGAGCCAAGAATATACAATGGAGAAAGGAAAGTCTCTTCAATAAATGGTATTGGGAAAACTGGACAGCCAGGTGCAAAAGAGTGAAAGTAGACCATTATCTTACACCATCCACAAAAATTAACTCAAAATAGATTAAAGACTTGAATGTAAGACCTGAAACCATAAAACTCCTAAGAAAATATAGGCAGTACACGCTTTGACATCAGTCTGAGCGGTATCTTTTCGAATACCATGTCTACTCAGGCAAGGGAAACAAAAGAAAAAATAAACAAGTGGGACTTTATCAGACTAAAGAGCTTCTGCAAGGCAAAGGATACCAGGAACAAAACGAAAAGACAACCCACAAACTGGGAGAAAATATTTGCAAATCATATATCCAACAAGGGGTTAATTTCCAAAATATATAGAGAACTCATACAACTCAACAACAAAAAAATGAACAACCTGATCAAAAAATGACCAGAGGATATGAACAGACATTTTTCCAAAGAAGATATATGGATGGAACACAGGCCCATGAAAAGATGTTCAACATTAGTAATTATTAGGGAAATGCAAATCAAAACTACAATGAGATATCACCTTACACCTGTCAGAATGGTTATAATTAACAAGACAAACAATAACAAATGTTGGAGAGGATGTGGAGAAAAGGGAACCCTCATACACTGCTTGTAGGAATGCAAATTGGCGCAGCCATTATGGAAAACAGTATGGAGATTTCTAAAAAAATTAAAAATAGAAATACTATACGATCCAGTTATCCCACTACTAGATATTTATCCAAAGAACATGAAATCAACAATTCAAAAAGTTTTATGCAGGGCCGGCCCGGTTGCTTAGCTGTTAAGTGCGCGCGCTCTGCTACTGGCGGCCTGGGTTCGGATCCTGGGCGCGCACCGACGCACCGCTTCTCCGGCCATGCTGAGGCCGCGTCCCACATACAGCAACTAGAAGGATGTGCAACTATGACATACAACTATCTACCGGGGCTTTGGGGAAGAAAAAACAAAGGAGGATTGGCAATAGATGTTAGCTCAGAGCCGCTCTTCCTCAGCAATAAGAGGAGGATTAGCATGGATGTTAGCTCAGGGCTGATCTCCCTCACACACAAAAAAACAAGTTTTATGCACCCCTGTGTTCATTGCAGCATTATTCACAATAGCCAAGTTGTAGAAACAACCCAAGTGCCCATCAACTGATGAACGGATAAAGAAGATGTGGTATATATATATATATATACATATAATGGAATACTACGCAGCCATAAAAAAGGCAAAATTGTCCCATTTGCAAGAACATAGATGGACCTTGAGGGTATTATGTTAAGTGAAATAAGCCAGACAAAGACAAACACCGTATGATTTCACTCACATGTGGAAGATAAACAAACACATGGATAAAGAGAACAGATTAGGGGTTCCCATAGGGGAAGAGGGTAGAGGGGAGGGCAAAAGGGGTAAAGGGCACATATATATGGTAATGGATAAAACTAGACTATTGGGGGTGAGCCTGATGCAGTTTATACAGAAACTGGTATATAATAATGTAACCTGAAAGTAGGCAATGTTATAAACCAATATGACCTCAATAAAATAATAAAAAAAAAAAAAGAAAGACTTCCTCAAATAAAGGTCCTTCTTTCTCCTGCCCTCTAGAGGGTTAAATCAGAATCATTGACGAAAGTATGATGGGCAGAGGTACATAGTTTATAAAATTACCACTAATTTAGAATTACTACTTGGTGCTTTACTGCGTATTAGATAGTTGGCGCTCAACAAATATATGTTAAATTAATTGTTGTTTTCTTTTCTTCTCCATACTCAAACGTCTCCTTTCATGACACAATAAAGAGCAACATCTCTCAAGCATGTTTTTCAAGCTATGAGAGTAGCCTGCTTTACAGAAACCACCTCCTGCACAACCTCCAACCCAAGAGGAAAAGCTGGAAAAATGTGAAGGAATTTTTTTTTTTTTTTTGCTTTGGTGCAGAATGGCTGTTGAGAATGTAGCAAAACAAGATAAAAACACAGGACTAATACGAGCGTTCCCTGGTAGAAAAGCCGGGTATAGTCTCTTTGAGAATTAGGCAGGGTCTCTCACTAAATTTTCTTACAAGTAAGGAGGGCATTTCGTACATGAATTTTAATCTTTAAAAAAATTTCTTCTCCAGTCCTTTCTCCCCAACTCTTGTCCCCTAACTGACCTACATCTTTCTGAATTTGTTTTTTCCAATTTCAGCGCGGTGTTGAGGAAACTGCAGCTCAATGCAGAAAGCTAGGGGCTACAGCACATGCGTTTGTGGTAGACTGCAGCAACAGAGAAGAGATTTATAACTCTGTGAGCCAGGTGAGACTTCAGGATACAAATCTCTTCAAATAATTTTGTGTCCACTCACGTGGAAAATGAAAAGGTTCTTTATGACTGCCTGATTTAAATTAGATTTTTAGCCTCTGCTAACTGAGGTAGTTGTGTGAATAAGGAAGGAAGTACTTTTTCCTTGCATATAATCCACTCACCTCTGCCTATTATTATTTCATATTATTAATCAGTTTCATTCTGATTAGAAATTTGAGCAGTGGTACAGAGTGACGGAGAAAAGATTTACCACCAGGAAAAAAGATCACTTTCTACTTTTGTTTTAGTCCTATTACTTTAACAGTAATTCTTTTTTTTACTTTAATTATTTCCTGTGTGAGATTTTATTTATGTTGGTGCTAATCTAGTCTTCTATAGAAAATGTAATATTAGTGATTATTATAACAATTTTTAGAAGAGTAAATATCAAATACTCACAATGAACCAAGCACTCTGATAAACTATCACATTCTTGAACTTAATCCCTATAAAAACCCTATTAACCTCATTTGACAGATGAGCAAATTGAGGCCCAGAGAGGTTTAGCCAGACTAAGTGGAGCAGGATCACTAAATAACCACTTTAAAAATGTTTAGTCAGGGCCGGCCCCGTGGCTTGGTGGTTAAGTGAGCATGCTCCACTGCTGGCGACCCGGGTTCGGATCCCGGGCTCGCACCAACGCGCTGCTTCTCCAGCCATGCTGAGGCCGCGTCCCACGTACAGCAACTAGAAGGATGTGCAGCTATGACACACAACTATCTACTGGGGCTTTGGGGGGAAAAAATAAATAAATAAAATCTTTAAAAAAAAAAAATGTTTAGTCAGATCTTATTAATCAACACAAATATTAATTTCACTTTATCGATCAACTTTAAAAATTTATTGAAATTTGGATGCTAAAATAACAGTTTATCCCACCTTTATGACGGTGTTCCCTTTGCAACCACCACTTGAGCTAGCCTAAAGCTGCCTGAACTCAGAGATCTCATCAAATAGAATAAAGAATCTAATCCCTGGATGATATCAATCCCAAAACTATGAGTTTCTATAACATACATGTTCTTTCCATTTCAAAAGGTAAAGAAAGAAGTGGGTGATGTAACTATCGTGGTGAATAATGCTGGGACAATATATCCAGCTGATCTTCTTAGTACCAAGGATGAAGAGATTTCCAAAACATTTGAGGTCAACATCCTCGGACATTTTTGGGTGAGTATGAGTCAGAAACTTTTCTGGTTTGTGCATGTCTGACTCATCCTCTTAAGGCACATGAAGTTCATAATTGAGTTCACATCCTTCTGGGTGGAAGACTGGCCAGATCTTTACCTTAAATCAAGAACCATCAAATTAGTTTGAGTGGAAGAGTCTCTGACAGAAGGGCACAGAGTTCAAGGGGCCACAACTTAACAGAAAGTAGCTAGTCTGTCCTATCCACTGATACCTAACACAAAGCCTGGCACATACCAGGTGCTCAAAAAATATTTGTGTAGGTTTGCTAAGGGCTGTCAGGTACGTGTTTTCAGTGCTTTAGAGAAAATATATACAGTGTACATTCACTTGTGACCTCATGTCACAGAATTTTAGAACTGAAAGGACAACAAAAATCACTACTCGGATGTATGCAGGGGTTAGGGGCTCTTCTGGAAGGAACTCTGAGATGAGCTCTAGATCCATGCTGGAACTTAGAAATATGGCTATAGAGACCTCTTATAATTGGTTAGTTTCTTGGGAGACTGAAATAGCCTTTGCAGAGAGCATTTATACGACTTAATCTTCCAGTGCCGCAATATTAGTGTAGAAATAGGGCAAATCTGGATGCTGGAAGAGAGAAGAAAAAAAGAGATGTGTCCCCCCATCCTCCCCAACCCCTCACACATGCTAATGATAATTGATTATTATGCCCACCAAACTACATAGAGACCTCATGTATTAGTTATCTATAGCTGCATAACAAATTATACCAAAACTTAGTGGCTTACAGCAACAATAAATATTCATTTTCCTCTCACAGTTTCTGCAGATCAGGAATTTGAGGGTGGCTTGGACTGGCAGTTCTGGCTCTACACATCAGCATGGGGTCCATAGCGTGGGTCTATAAAACTCTCATAAAATATTATCAATATTTCTCACAAAACAGTAAAGCTTTTTGGAGATAAAGAAAGACTTTTTGTTTCCTGTAACATCAACATATAATGCACAGTTTTACAAATAGGGAGATACTAAATCTAATCACAATGCATAATGCTTGTGGGTCAGTACAGAACTCTTAGCGTTTTCTACTCAACTTGATATAGGTACACAAGATTTCAACCCTTCTCATTAGAGTGATAAAGCCCCAAAACAAAAAAATCACATGATACCAGATTACCATAGGAAATTTTTTCAGTTCTGAAAACTCTGAATTTTTCCCTTAATAATATTGTTTAGATGATATATCCATAGAGGAGATATTTGATTCCCTCTGAAGGAAAGAAGGGGGAATATTAAGATGAGTTGTTGGCATATGATATACAGTTTACAGCACTCAATGCCGGCTCAAACCAATACATTTTAATCCTTGTTTCATTTCTATCATTTGCATAGAAGTAATCGTGTAATCATGGCACGTATTTCATTTCATTGCAAAAGTTGTCTCAAATGCCATTTGGTCTTAAAAATAAAACTACCTAATCTGGAAACCTAACACCTGTGTCATCATTTCTTCTCTTTCTGCAACAATCCTTGAAGATCACAAAAGCACTTCTTCCGTCAATGATGAAGAGAAATCATGGCCACATTGTCACGGTGGCTTCAGTGTGTGGCCATGGAGTGATTCCTTATCTTATTCCGTATTGGTAAGTATTACTTTCCAGCAGTGCTATGTATTTTTATACTTTTAAGGGTTTAGTATAACTCAGATTCCAGTCCTCATAGCAGGGTAATTTGGATTTACAGAACTTATGTAGTAGTTTATTTATTTATTTATTTTTTTTAAAGATTTTATTTATTTCTTTATTTTCCCCCCAAAGCCCCAGTAGATAGTTGTATGTAGCTGCACATCCTTCTAGTTGCTGCACGTGGGACGCGGCCTCAGCATGGCCAGAGAAGCGGTGCGCCGCTGCGCACCCGGGATCCGAACCTGGGCTGCCAGCAGCGGAGCGCGCGCACTTAACCGCTAAGCCACCGGGCCTTCCCAGTAGTAGTTTAGAATAAACGTCTAAAAATGATTTTTCCTAAAACAATGAAACTGGTCGTAATCATTTAAAATATTTTTGGACTTGTGAAAACTCCTCTGTAGAGCAATGAAAGAACACAGTAACGCTATACATGTTTCCATTGTATCGTGGAATGAGTAGATGTTGATAAAAGGAACAGGGAACCCACAGACTAAGAAGCAAAACATACAGAAGTCCAAATGAACACAAATCTATGCCATGGCCTGCATGCCGAAGATAAGCTACCCAGAGTGGCCCCTGGATCAAAACATTTTCCAGTGTGCTTGTGTCATGAAAGATTGTGTGTGTGTCTTTGTGTCTGTGTCTTTGTGTGTCTGTGTGTGTGTGCGAGAGAGAGAAAGAGAGAGAGAGTGAGATTGAAAGCCTTTACCTGATTAGAGGCAGATAGCACACTCCATGTTCTACCAAGGACAGAAAAAGAAAAAGGTGGGAGACCCTAAGGATACACTATTTGCAAAATATATTTTCCTTGTAAACTCCTTTAATGGCATCTCATTTCCTTTTGCTTTATATCAACCTCATAGATAAATTTAACTTGTTAACATTTTGGTCAGTTCTTTTTGTAACTGCCAACACATGATTATCAGTGGGTGATTGTGGGGGTGGGTAGTTAGTTGATTTGTTATTTACTTATACATCCATGTTCAAGGTTAAATTTAGTCATGAACCAAATTATTTCTGACACTGAATATAGTCACAGATATAGTTCAATTTCAGTGTAGGTTAAGGTATCACTGTACATACATATGGTTGCTTCAAGCTGCCTCTACCATCTTAAAACATAAATAAGAATTTCACAGATTAAACATTCACTATTGTTTTAATGTTTAGAAATGTGGAAACCCAATGTAATAATAGTTTTCCTTTTTTTCTTCCCCTTTAGGAAAGCAGCCAGTCTTTAACTTTATTGTTCTTATTGTCACCTGGCTCAAAAATACAATTAACATTTACATAGATCCTTATAGGTAATAAAGTTATTATACATATGCTACTTGATTTAATCCTCAAGACAGCCCTATATTTTATCTGCATTTTAAAGATCAGAAAAATCAAAGGAAGAAGATAAAGTGATATGCTGAAGGTCGCATACACACACTTCCTGAAGTCTTTTTACTCCAAATCTTTAAAATGAAATTAAGAAGCCAAAGTGGCCTCCATGTCAAGAGAGAAAGTATCAACTCAGTTATCGAGAGAGAGGAGAAATGTGTAGAGTCTCACAGAAGTTTGCGGGACTAAATATGTTTTCTACATATGCTTTCCCTGATTCATATTTTTCAAAGCAAAAACAGCAATAAAAACTGATTAGAAAACAGTTCGAAGATTGAATGGAACACCTTACATGTAGGGTGGAAAAGTGAGTAGTAAGCCAGTCAACAAGTTATTAGGATTTGTTCTATTGCTATCGCTACTACTTAAGAAATTGGTACATGGAGAATTCTGTGAAATCCTATAAGAAAATGTAAATGAAAATGAATACTCAAGTGGAAGATTTGGGGGTTTGGCTTCTACTTGTTCTCAAATCAAATCAACGTTGCCTTCTCACGGAGAGCTGAGGACTGTGTTTCACTTGCCCATAGCTAACGATGGTGGATAATTCTCTTACAGTTCCAGCAAATTTGCTGCTGTTGGCTTCCACAGAGCTCTGACATCAGAACTTGAAGCGTTGGGAAAAACTGGTATCAAAACCTCGTGTCTCTGCCCTGTTTTTGTGAATACCGGGTTCACCAAAAACCCAAGCACAAGGTGAGGTCAAAATCAAGTTAGGATGGAAATATGGCAGGAGAAATTGATATGAAAACTATATGAGAAATTTCTAGGTGGGTCAACTGAGAAAATAGAAAAAAATAGTAAAAATATTTTTTCTTATTAACGTTACTGTATTGCCTTTAAGTTTTCACTTAGAAATTAGATGAACAACGGGGAAAAATGCATTAGGGACTAGCAGGAGTGATCAGCTGCCAATGAATTAGGCAATTGGGTATTTTTGTGACCAGGTAAAAGGTTCAGCACACACTCAGGGGCCAAGAGGGAGTGAGAGTGGGGGTTGGGGCAGGCTGGAGAGGTTGCTTAAGGGGATAGGAACAGTGTCCTCTGCTGGAAACCACACCTCAAAATGAATGACACCTAACAACCCCCTCTCCCATTCATGGCTCTTCCTCCTCAAATAGAGTATGGAAAGGTACAGGTGTATGCCCCTTTTCCATCTCCCACAGCACTGGGACAATGCTAGCATAAAGTACTCCAACATTTTTCAAACTTGCCTAATTCTAAGAATCATCACCTAAGCTTAGATAAAAAATAAATGTTCTTAGGCTCTTTCTTAGAGATTCTGATTCAATAAGCTGGGATGAGCTCCAAGAATGAGGTGTTTTGTTTTATTTTGTTTTCAAGCATACCAGGTGAGTCTGGAGACAGGTTTGGAAAACTTTGATATATGAAATATAACCACAAGCACTTGATCACTGTTACCACCTTGTTCTCCTTAAAAATGCACATGTTCCTAAGAGCAGCAATGAATTGAGTCCTTAACCCCTTAGTCAAGGTGAATTTCTGCAAGAACTTTGTCTCTAATAAGGGAGGATTTGAGACCATAAGAGGAGAAATGGTCCTGAAAGGGAGGGAAAAAGCAGAAAGGTGAAGACAAGGCCCTAAACTTAAGACATCTGCCTCACAAATTTGCCTCAATTCTAGTATATATTCTGTTGTCAGTTAACAAAATATATTAAGCTTGCTAATCTGAAGCCAATTTATTCCTGGAAGGGAATTAGTTCTAAATATATTCACTCATAAGAGCTAAAAAATTCCCTTTCAAACTCAGCCTCATTTGAAGCTAGTAACTCCGAAACTCTGAATTAGCTGTGTTGTCTCTGGAGCTGTGGTCACTCCCTGGCGGTGGAGTCCTTGACAGTGTTAGACCATAGGCACTTAACAAGTACACAATGTATAGGTAAATACTGTGGTGTGATTGGGACTCCTGGCTCAGCTTTCTTAAATAGGAAATTGAGCCCAATAAAAATCCTCTTGGTAAGCATTCAGGCTTAGCGTGTACCAAGAGTACCATGTCAACTGGTGGGGAAGACACAGTAGAAAAGAGTAGGACTAATGCAACCCTGGGTGGTGTGGTGCCTGGAGGTGACCCCTGGAGCTGACAGGCAATGCTGAAGATTTAGGATTGGTCTTAACCAGACTGCTGAATTCTGAATTTTCTTCACAAAGGCTAAAATGTCCATATACTGATGTCAGGCTTAGCTCAGAGACTGGGTAGGTGCAACTAGGTAGGAGAAATCAGGGAGGGAAGTAGTAGAACCCAATAATTTAGAAAAGTACGGATGTGTATTACTCTCTACTGGCTTGCCACTCAATGCCATGGAAACCTCAATCACGTAATAATCTGCAGTAAACTACAAGAATATCTGAAGGAAGGAGGTTATGACATTCACTGCTTACTTAACTCCTCTACACAAGCTTTTTATTCACTGGCCATTCAACTCATGCCCAGACATTTTAACTGGTGCAACACTATCAATCCATTTACGTTTTAATTTCCTGTCATCATCTTGCACTAATGGGCATTCTACAATGGACCTGTAGTTATGAATACTTCTCAAGAGCCCACATAGACAGTCTTCAGTATAAGCAAGGTCACACCTCCAGTTATAATGTAATACTCCCTGTGCATATCTCCAACTTTCATTAAACTGCAACATAGGAAGTCAGAGGTAAATCTCAAGTACTAAATACCCTTAAAACAATCCAGCTTTATGGGATACCTCTGCAAGAAAGAAAGTATACTTAGCTATAGAGTTCTCTCCCTGTCCCAACAAGCCCTGAGGAGAGATGTCAGATATTTCCTTTCTGTCCCATGATTAATCCTATGCACTAGTCTTCCTTTCCTGGTTCCTATTCTCCTCTACCATCTAATTCCTCTCCACCATTTTGAAAGTTTGATTGAGTGAGCCATGAAATACAACTATGATGTGAGAGTGTAAGACTGTGATAACAAAACATCAATATGGCATGCGAGGGCATCCGGGAGCAGGTGGCATTCGTGTAGTGAATCCTGGAGCATTTTAAATCCTAATTTGGTGAAAAGATAAGTTAATTTTCCTGCCTTTATTAATTAAAAAACAACAACAACAAAAAGAGCCAAACTTTTTCTCCTTTTAATCATAGACTATGGCCTGTATTGGAGACGGATGAAGTTGCAAGAAGCTTGATAGATGGAATACTTACCAATAAGAAAATGATTTTTGTTCCATCCTATCTCAATATCACTCTAACACTAGAGAGGTAAGTACAGCACAAAACACCTAATATACTAAAACACTAACAGAGCTATCATTATGGTGAGTCTTTCAGTTGTGAAAGTTGCCATGGAAACTCTCCATCCCTGGGGAGAACAGGTAAGTTTCCTCTGTTATTGCCTTACCCAATCTATAAAAAGATCATGATTCATTTTCTCTACCACATCTAGCATCTCCACCCAAACTTTGCCAGGGACTGTTCTAACGAAGGACAGACAATTTAAAGAGAATACAATATAGTGAAGTAGCTAAAAATTAAAAGTCTATAAAAAAGCCTGCTGGAGTTATGATTGAGATTGTGTTGAATCTATAGATCAATTGGGAGAGAATTAACATATTAACAATATTGAGTCTTCCAATCCAAGAATACAAAGAACACAATATATCTTTCCTTTTTTTTTTCCATTTTCTTCAATATCTCTACACGATGTTTTGTAGTTTTCAGTGTACAAGTCTTACACACTTTTTTGTCAGGTTTGTCCCAAAGTATTTCATGTTTTTTTTTTTTTTTGTGAGGAAGATCAGCCCTGAGCTAACATCCATGCTAATCCTCCTCTTTTTGCTGAGGAAGACCAGCTCTGAGCTAACATCTATTGCCAATCCTCCTCCTTTTTTTCCCCCAAAGCCCCAGTAGATAGTTGTGTGTCATAGTTGCACATCCTGCTAGTTGCTGTATGTGGGACATGGCCTCAGCATGGCCGGACAAGCGGTGCGTCCGTGCACGCCCGGGATCCGAACCCAGCCGCCAGTAGCGGAGTGCGTGCACTTAACCGCTAAGCCATGGGGCCGGCCCTCATGTTTTTGATGCTATTGCAAATGGCATTTTAATTCTGTTTCCCATTTATATTTGATTTTTGCATTTTGATCTTATATTTAGCAGCCTTGCTAAACTCATTTCTAGTAGGTTCTTTGTAGATTCTAACAGATTTTTTTACATAAATGATCATATAGTCTGCGAATAAAGATACTTTTACTTCTTCCTTTCCAATCTGTATGGTTTTTTTTCCTGCCTTATTGTACTGGCTAGCACCTCCCATGCAATGTCAGATAGGATTGGTGAAAGCACACATCCAAGTGTTCTTCCTGATCTTAAAAGGAAAGTATTCAGTATTTCACAATTAAGTATGACGTCAGCTGTGTATTTTTTTTTTCCATTGATGCTCTTTATCACGTTGAGGAAGTTCCCTATATTACTACTTTGGTAAGAGTTCTTATCAAGAGTGGATATGGGGGGCCGGCCCAGTGGCACAAGCAGAGAAGTGTGCACGCTCTGCTGCGGCGGCGAATCCCGGGCGTGCACCAACGTGCTGCTTGGCAAGCCATGCTGTGGCGGCGTCCCATATAAAGTGGAGGAGGATGGGCACAGATGTTAGCCCAGGGCCATTCTTCCTCAGCAAAAAGAGGAGGATTGGCAGATGTTAGCTCAGGGCCGATCTTCCTCACAAAAAAAAAAAAAGAGTGGATATGGATTTTGCCAAATGATTTTACTGAATATTTTGAGAAGATCTTATAGTCTTTCCATTTAATTTTCTCTTCTTTTTCTAGTTTGTTAATATGGAAGCTGAGTTCATTGATTTTTTTTTCTAATATGGGCATTTAGTGCTATAAATTTGCCTCTGTGTACTGCTTTAGTTCTGTCCCTCAAATTTTGACATATTATATTTTCACTTACATTCTGTTCAAAACACTTTCTAATTTCTCTTTTGTGTCATGGATTATTTAGAAGTATGTTTTTTAATTTCTAAATATTTGGAGATTTTCTAGAGATCTTTTTGTTAGTGATTTCTAATTTAATTCCTATGTATTACTTGAATATTTTAAATTTATGGAGACATATTTAAGCTTAGAACATGGTTTATCTTCATAAGCATTCCAAGTACACCTAAAAAGAATGAGTATTCTGTGTTGTTGACTGTTCTATAAATATCAGTTTAAGTCAAATTGGTTGATAATGTTGCTTAGGTTGTCTATGTCTTTAATGATTTTCTGTCTATTTGTTTCACCAATTATTGAGAGAAGTCTTGAAATCTCTAGCTATAATTGTGAATTTGTCCATTTTTCTTTGCAGTTCTGTCTTTTTTTGCTTCATCTATTTTGAAGCCCTGTTATTATGTTCACAAACATTTAGGATTATTATGTCCTCTAGATGAATTGACTGCTCTGTCATTTTGGAAATGACCTTGTTTATCCCTGGTAACATACTTTGCTTTGAAATCCACTTTGTCTGATATTAATATAGCCACTCCAGCTTATTTAGATTAATGTTGTTATAATATATCTTATTCTGTTCTTTTAACTTATTTGTTTTTGTAAGTTCGAAATATGTTTCTTGTAGGCAGTATATAGTTGGGCTATTGTTTTAATCCAATTTGACAATCTCTGCCTTTCAGTTGAGGGTATTTAGACCATTTACATTTAATGTTATTATTGATATAGTTAGATCTAAAGCTGACTTTAAACCTTGCTGTTTGTTTTCTATTTTTCCCATTTGTTCTTGCTTCCTTTTTTCTATTTTTCTGTCTTTTTTTGGGTTAATTCATATTTCCATTTTATTTTCTTTGTTGGCTTATTAGCTATAATTCTTTGTTTTGCTATTTTAGTTACTGCTTTAGAGTTCATAGTATGCATCTTTAACTTATCACAGTCTACCTTCAAATGATATTATACTACTTCATGTATAGATCAAGAACTTTACACAGTATACTTCTATCTCTCCCATCCTAGGCTTTATGCTATTTTTGTCATACATTTTACTTTTACATATGTTACAAACCCCACATTATATAGTTATGATTTTTGTTTTAACATCCAATTATCTTTTTGTCTGTGTGTGAGGCAGATTGGCCATGAGCTAACATCCATTGCCAATCTTCCTCTTTTTGCTGAGGAAGATTGGCCCTGAGCTAACATCTGTGCCCATCTTCCTCTATTTTGTATATAGGACACTGCCACAGCATGGTTTGATGAACAGTGCATAGGTCCGTGCCCAGGAACTGAACCTGTGAACCCTGGGCCACCGAAGCAGAGCATGTGAACTTAACCACTATGCCACCAGGCCGGCCCCCAATTATCTTTTTAAAGAGGTTTAAATAACAAGGAAAATTCTTAAATGTTTACCCATGTAGATAACATTTCTGATGCTCTCCATTCATTTGTGTGGATCCAGATTTCCATCTGGTACCACTTCCCTTCTGCCTGAAGGACATCCTTTAAGGACATCCTTTCTTAGGGAAGTTCTGCTGGTTATGAATTCTTTTACCTTTTGTATGTCTCACAAATTCTTTATTTTGCCTTAGTTTTTGAAAGATATTTTCACTAAGTATAGAACTTCAGGTTAATAGTTTTTTGTCGTTCAGTACTTAAATATTTTGTTCTACCACCTCCACGTCTTCTTTGCTGGAGGCTGTTCTAACTGAAGGAAAGACTGTTTTAAAAGGAACACAATATGGTAAAGTGCTTAAGAACAAAGGCTCCTCCTAGATCAGAAAACCACTCTACCACTTATTAGTTCTTTGACCATGGACAAGTTATTTAACCTCTATGGACTCAGATTTCCCATATATAAAATGCGATAATACCTCTTTTCTAAGTAATCCATAAGAATAAAATAATATAATGCAAGTGAAGCCCCTGCCATTGAAAAGATACAGAAGTCAGATATTAAAGGCTTAGGAAGCAGAATTTATGTAAAATGGTAAGAGGAAATAGGATTATTTACCCAAAGGAGATAATCTCTCAGCTTTCTTCTTCTTTATTCTAAATAATGGTTTATAATAAATTGAAATTGTATCAGTGAGAAGATAGCTATACTAACTTCATAAGACCTTGAGCCTTTTTGAAACAAATCCATATAAACTGTGCTAAAACTTGGAATAGAACAATTCAAGAACAGGGACAAACTGCATTGCTGATCAATTTCAATCTTCCATTTTAGTTTAAATAGACTGACTTAAGTTAGCATAACCTCAACCTCAAAGCAACATCATCTGAAGAGTTGACTGAATTAGTGTCTTGGTGCTGAGCACTGTAGGAAATGAGTTTAATGGGATTCCTACTCTTCTGCAGCTCAAAACAGGTCATATTAATGTTGAAAAACTTAAACTCATAGCAGACTTGCATATGACCAAGACAATAAACATAGTTGTTCTGCTGGAGTTGGAGAGTAGGTATCCCTATACAATAAACAGAAGTCTCAAAATCTTTGGTATTATTCTGCAGCTGTCTTGGTGATTTGTCACTCAGGGACTTATTGTCAATCTTGTTGGCATTTAATTCCTATTACAGAAATAGACAATTTTGTGAGCAGATGCAATTACTAGCATGAAAATTTCTTTGTGAGGGTATTTAAAAGGCCCATACAAGTTCTCTTCTTATACTTGTCTTTCTCCCAGCGAGATCTTCCCTGCCCCTTTGTTTATTCCTCCACCTTCCACTCTACCCACCTCCTCAAGACAGGGAGGTAAATCTTGCATTAGCCAACAATGCCAAAGTGATTTTCAATATGACTTTCTTTGCAGAATGTGTGACGTCTGCCTCCTTATATATTCACTCATACGCTCTTCCTTTCATCTGCCGACTCAAATGTTACCCATCCTTGAGCATCCAATCGTCCTTTTGACGCTTTCCTTCACTTTAAACTTTACGCTTTCCAACCCACATTAAACCTCCTCACAGTTATAGCCCTTAATTAGAGGTGGTTAATATTTTTCAATAATTGTTTCAAGATGGCCACCTTAGCCTCTCAGCAACCAATAAGCTCCTCAAAGGCAGTAGCTGTTTTTAAAGTACTTTAGTCTACGTTATTATAGAGTGCATAATAGATATTCAGTAAATACAGTCATGTGTTTCTTAACAAAAGGGATATATGTTCTGAAAAATGCATTGTTAGGAGATTTTGTTGTTGTGTGATCATCACAGAGTGTACTTACACAAACCTAAATAGTGTAGCCTACTACACACCTAGGCTACATGATACTAATCTTATGGGACCACCGTCGTACATGTGGTCTGTCGTTGACCAAAATGTTGTTAGGCGGCACATGACTGTACTTAAGGAGAGGTGGAGGGATGGATGGAATGGATTCTGGTGGTGTCTCTCTGTGAACCCTTAGCATCAGGATTCATTGACAGTTTCAGCAATAAGCCCAGACTTTCAGTTTTAGATCTTTACTCATATAATATTTTATGAATATAAGATGAGAAGGTGAGAAGAGTGGTATGTATCAGTGCTTTCTTTATATTTGCATAATATTTGAACTGTGAGTATTAAAAGCCACACACAAGAAAAGACAGAGAGGTAGATGTTTGTGAAAGAAGAAAGGAAGAACAGAGGAAAATTAAATGCAAACCTGATAACTCTTAGGGTATTTTAACTGACAATAAAAAAGAACTCTGTTGTCAAAGATTTTAAATTGAAAATTTTTCATCATTTTTTTATATAGATTTCTTCCTGAACGTGCCTTGGCAGCTATAAATCATGTACAGAATGTTCAATTTGAAGCAGTGATTGGTCACAAAAGCAAAATGAAGTGAATAAATGAGCTCCAGCCAGAGATGTATGCACCTTAATGATGTGGATCTAAGTTTAAAGTCAATGCTTCAAAGCTTGATTTCACATTTTTCAATGCTGTTAATATTAAAAACATTGGGTTGGCATTAGCAGCAGTTGAATAAACAAGACTAATTACCTGTCTTTCCATTTCTCAAAAATATTAATGTAGTTTTAATAGTCAGATCCATTTTTCATTCCATGCCTCTTAAAAACTTCTGTGCTTAAATCAACATACTTAAAAGGTCATTTTTCTTTAATATACTTCATTTCTTTTCTTTTTTTTATATTTTTTTATTATTTTTTGTGTGTGTGAGGAAGATCAGCCCTGAGCTAACATCCGTGCTAATCCCCTTCTTTTTGCTGAGGAAGACCGGCTCTGAGCTAACATCTATTGCCAATCCTCCTCCTTTTTTTCCCCCAAAGCCCCAGTAGATAGTTGTATGTCATAGTTGCACATCCTTCTAGTTGCTGTATGTGGGACGCGGCCTCAGCATGGCTGGAGAAGCGGTGCATCGGTGCGTGCCTGGGATCCGAACCCCGGCCGCCAGTAGCGGAGCGCATGTGCTCAACCTCTAAGCGACAGGGCCAGCCCTCTTTTCTTTCTGTTTAAAGGTGGACAAAGCTATCTCCCTGGGAGTGAATACAAAGAGAACTTATTTACACAGGAAAGGTTTAAAACTGTTCTAGACCACAGAATGTCAACAAATACACAGTGTGAGCCGCGGTTAGAGATCAAGTTTAAGCAGGCAGCTACACTCCAAAGGACTGACAGATTACTTCTATGAAATTCAACATTTGGAAGCTTTCTCTAGTCTCTCCCTTTTTCATCAACCCAAAACAGCGCAATGGTATTCTGGACTTTCTCACCTGATTCTGTCCCTTGTATAGCTCTTATGTCTACCAAGAGTGGAGCCTCTATACTTTCTCCACTTTTCATACTCTCTTGAAATACAATATTACAAAAAGTGACTCTATCTTGAATCTCAAAGTATCTGAAATTTTAACCCAATTATAACCTCTTTCTTTGTAGTTTATGCTTTCATATGTCATTGGTACCAGAGATATTTAGACAGTTTTGAGCTTCAAAAATAAAAGCTAACACAGGAAAAAGAATTAGGTTGGCTATCTAATACTGAACAGTGGATCTGAGAAAGGGAAGGGAAAAAAGAGTGGTCTTTTTATTTAATAGAAAGAAAAATCTGACTCCCACTACATCAAGACTCATCTTGAGGCAGAGGTCCAAGATGGCAGTGTAGGAAAACCCTGGACTCACTTCCTCCCATGGACACACCAAATCTACACCTAAATGTAGAGTAGTTCCTCCTGAAGAAGGACTGAGGGCTAGCTGAACAGCTTCTGCACAAGAAATGATAGAGGGACCACACAGTTACGGGTAGGAGAGAGGGAGACACAGTATCAACAGGAACCCCCCCACCCAATGTGGTGACCTGCAGCAGGGAGGGTATCACTGAAGGCCCTGCGTGCAGGCTTGCCCACCCTGGGGCACAAAGGAAAAACAGCTGTTTAAAAGGCACCTAGAGGGCCGGCCCCGTGGCTTAGCGGTTAAGTGCATGCGCTCTGCTGCTGGCGGCCCGGGTTCGGACCCCGGGCGCGCACCGACGCACCGCTTCTCTGGCCATGCTAAGGCCGCATCCCACATACAGCAACTAGAAGGATGTGCAACTATGACATATAACTATCTACTGGGGCTTTGGGGGAAAAATAAGTAAATAAAATAAAATAAAAAGTTTTTTAAAAAGGCACCTAGATTGTAGGGGAAAGAACTGCTGGAACTCTACCAGGGTCAGAGGCACCGGCAAGCACCATTTATGGCATTCCCCCTCCACCTTGATAGTGCAGGCAGGAACACAGTCCAGATGCTCTAGCTGGCCTGCTAAGGCCACCCCAGTGTGCCCCAGACCCCTGGCCCACACCAGCTCCAGCCAGCCTGCCAAGGCACCCTGGACATGGCATGCCTTGGGACTTTCCCAGTTTGTACCCACCCCTGCTGCAGTCAGCACACCCCAGGACTCCCCCAGCCCACACCTACCCCAGCTCCAGCCAGCCCACTAAGGTGCCCCAGACGCAGTGCACCACTATAGTCCCCCAGCCCATGCCCACCCCAGCTCAAGACGGCCCACCAATTTGGCCCAAACACAGCATACCGCAGGACTTCACCAGCCTGCAACCACCCCAACCCCAGCTGGCCCACCAAACCCACCCAGCACACATAGTCTACACAAGGAACACTCCTACACAAGGCCACTCCAGACAATGAGAGGTAGCTGTTTCACCTAACTCAGAGAAACAAACACAGAAAGTCAAACAAAATGAAGAAACAGAGGAATATGTTCCAAATGAAAGAATAAGATAAAACCCCATTAAAAAAAAAAAACAAACTTCTAATGAAATGGAGATAAGTAATTTACCTGATAAAGAGTTCAAAGTAATGGTCATAAACATGCTCACAAAACTCAAGAGAAGAATGGAGAAACACAGTGAGAACTTCAGCAAAGAGTTAGAAAATATAAGAAAGAACCAATCACAGCTGAAGAATATAATAACTAAAATGAAAAATACACTAGAGGGAATCAACAGCAGATTAGATGATACAGAAGAATGGATCAGCAATCTGGAAGACAAAATAGTGGAAATCACCCAATCAGAACAGCAAAAAGAAAAAAGAATTTTAAAAAATGAGAATACTTTAAGGGACCTCTAGGACAACATCAAGTAATAACATTTAGGGGTCCCAGAAGGAAAAGAGAAAGGGAAAGAAAACTTATGTGAATAAATAATAGCTGAAAACTTCCCTAACCTGGGGAAGGAAACAGACATCCACCTCTGGGAAGCAGAGAGTTCCAAATAAGATGAACCCAAAGAGACCCACTCCAAGACATATTATAAATAAAATGGCAAAAATTAAAGATAAAGAGAGAATCTTAAAGGCAGCAAGAAAAAAAAAACAACAAATTGCAGACAAGGGAACCCCCATAAAACTATCAGCTGACTTTTCAGGAGAAACTTTGCAGGCCAGAAGGTAGTGGCATGATATATTTAAAGTGCTGAGAGGAAAAAACTTACAACCAAGAATACCCTACCTGGCAAGGTTATCATTCAGAATTGAAGGAGAGATCAAGAGTCTCTCAGACAAGCAAAAACTAAAGGAGTTCATCAACATTAAACCAGCCTTACAAGAAATGTTAAGGGTTTTCTTTAAGTGGAAAATAAAAGGCTATAACTAGAAATAAGAAAATATATGAAAGAAAAAATTCTCACTGGTAAAGGCAAATAGTTAGTAAAGGCAATAGATCACCACTCAGAAAGCTAGTATAAGGAAAAAAGACAAAAGTAGTAAAATTAACTAGAAGTACAGTAAGTTGTTAAGGGATACACAAAATAAAAAGATGTAAAAGATGACATCAAATACATAAAACATGAGGGGAGGGAGTAAAAATGTAGTGCTTTTAGAATGCGTTAGAATTTCAGTGATTATCACCTTAAAATAGACTGCTATACATATAGGTTGATATATATGAAGCTCATGGTAACCACAAACCAAAAACTTACAAAAAGTAAAGAGGAAGGAACTCAAACACAACACTAAAGAAAACTGTCAAACCACAATGGAAGAGATCAAAAGAAGAAAAAAGGAACAGAGAAGAATTACAACACAACCAGAAAACAACTAACAAAATGGCAACAAGTACATACCTATCAATAATTACTTTAAATGTAAATGGACTAAATGCTCCAATCAAACAACATAGGGTGGCTGAATGGATAAAAAAGACTCACCTATCTATGCTGCCTACAAGAGACTCACTTCAGATCTGAAGACACACACAGATTGAAAGTGAAAGGATGGAAAAAGATATTCCATGAAAATGGAAACAAAAAGAAAGCTGGGGTAGCAGTACTCAGACAAAAAAGACTTTAAAAGAAAGACAGTAACAAATGAGAAGGAAGGGCATTCCACAATGATAAAGAGGTCAATTCAAGCAGAGGATATAACATTCATAAACTTTTATGCACCCACCATAGGAACACCTAAATATATAAAGCAAGTTTTAACAGACATAAAGGGAGAAATTGACAGTAAATACAATAATAGTAGGGGACTGTGCTACTCCACTTACATCAATGGATAGATCATCCAGACAGAAAATCAGTAAAGAAACATAAATGACACATTAGGCCAGATGGACTTAACAGATATATACAGAACATTCCATCCAAAAACTGCAGAATACACATTCTTTTCAAATACATGTGAACCATTCTCCAGGATAGATCAGATGTTAGGCCATAAAACAAGTCTCAATAAATTTAAGAAGATTGAAATCATATTAAGTATCTTTTCCAACCACAACGGTATGAAAGTAGAAATCAATTACAAGAAGAAAATTTGAAAAAACACAAACACAAGGAGGCTAAACAACTCATTACTAAACAACCAATGGGTCAGTGAGGAAATAGAAAAAAAAATACCTTGAGACAAATGAAATTGGAAACACAACTTTCCCAAATCTCTGAGATGCAACAAAAGCAGTTCTGAGAGGGAAATTCATAGCAGTACAGGCCTACCTCAAGAAATAAGAAAAATCTCAAATAAACAATCTAACCTTACACCTAAAGGAACTAAAAATAGAAGAACAAACAAAGCCAAAAGTTAGTAGAAAGAAGGAAATGATAAAGATCAGAGCAGAAGAAAATGAAATAGAAGCTAAAAAAAACAATAGAAAAGAGCTATGAAACTAAAAGCTGGTTCTTTGAAAAGATAAAATTGATAAACCTTTAGCCAGACTCATTAAGAAAGAAAGAGAGAGGGCCCAAATAAATAAAACCAGAAATGAAAGGGGAGAAGTTACAACTGACACCACAGACATACAAAGCATCAAAAGAGATTACTATGAACAATTATACACCAACAAAATGGAAAATCTGGAAAAAATGGATAAATTCCTAGAATCACACAACCTTCCAAGACTGAATCATGCAGAAATAGAAAATCTGCACAGACTGGTTACAAGTAATGAAACAGAATCAGTAATTTAAAAACTCACAAAAAACAGAAGTCCAGAACCAGATGGCTTCATAGGTGAATTCTACCAAATATTTAAAGAAAAGTTAGTACCTATCCTCAATTTATTCCAAAAAAAATGAAGAGGAAAGAATGCTTTCATACTTATTTTACAAGGTCAGTATTACCCTGATACCAAAACCAGATAAAGACACCA